GCGTGCGTGCTGGCGGGTTCTCTCCTCGGTGTTCTTAGATCTGTCGGCTTTGCCTTCCCCTTGCCAGGTGATCGGCATGCACTACTTCTCTCCGGTGGACAAGATGCAACTGCTGGAGATCATCACAACCGAGAAAACTTCTAAGGACACAACTGCTTCCGTCGTGGCAGTCGGGCTCAAGCAGGGGAAGGTCATCATTGTGGTTAAGGTAAAGAGCTGTGAAACAGAGTGGCAGATTTGGGGAAAGTTCTGTCAGACTCCTTATACCTCCAGGCTTGTTTACACCTATTCTGGGGCAAATATGTCACCTTTGGGTATGATTTCCCTTTGGTTGTCTGCCGCATGGACAGTGCTGTGGACGGTACTGCTGAGTCACGGTCTGAGAGGGGAGTGTCTGGGACACGGTGGGTTCTCCCAGCCATTCCAGAGCTTTCGGGTGACTGTGAAACCCTGTGCTGTGCCGTTTGGTTGAAGCCGTGCTGCTCTGGCTGTGGCTTCCCCTGCAATGTAATTTTAACGATTCTGTTTGAAAGTATAAACCGCCTTGAATTTTGAAGCGACACCTGGGGAAGGGAGCCTGCTTTCACACTTGGGTGGCACCTGAAGCAGAGGAGCCGCTGAGCTCACGTTCTCTCCCTTGGCAGGACGGACCTGGCTTCTATACCACCCGGTGTCTCGCACCCATGATGTCTGAAGTCCTCCGAATCCTCCAGGTTGGTACCGCTCTTGGAATGTTGGAGGCATCTTCCACCCCTTACACCAGTCCTCCAAATTGGTTCTGTCGGGATGAGGAACAGGCTTCCTTCTAATACACTAAGTCCTGGTGCATCCCCAAGATGCCTGGGGATCTTTTTGCCTGGTCCTTCCACACGGTGGTTGGAAATCATGGGCTTTGCTGCCCTACAGTGGGCAGAATTTCAGCTCCGCTCCCTTAACCGCCTCCCCGCTCCACTAGGCCCAGGGCCTCCCGACATGCTCTTCACGGTTTCTGCATCCCCTTTGAGGCAGGGACCATCCAGAACACGCAGGCCCACCGGCCTGATGGGTGCTGGACCGGCTTCTGCTGCACACACCCCTCCGGTGGCACCCCCTTGCCGGGCACTCGTCAGACGTTGGCTCGGGGGCGCCGCAGCACTGCTCCGTGGCGAGGCCTCTTCTCTTAGTTATGGGAGACTTCGCCCTGTGCGCCGCAGGATCTCATTACTCCCGAGATTCAGAATTGCAAACGAGAAGGAAATGAACAGTGTGTTCATCTCTAAATGAATTTGTTCATTCCTTAAAGTGCTGTGGGTTCGGGAAGGCTCAGACTTTCCCCCTGCTTACTCCCAAAGCTCCTTTGCCTCCCTGGGTGGAACAGCCCCAGTCCTGGGCCTGGCCAGGCGGCACCCGGGAGAGAAGCGAGTGTTGCGGCAGCCCGGTCTCGGAGGGCCCACATGGGGAGCCTTTGTGGGAGGGCCCAGAATGCCTTTCCTTGAGGTCCCTGCTTACCTCCCATTCAGGAAGGAGTTGACCCTAAGAAGCTGGATTCCCTTACCACAAGCTTTGGCTTTCCCGTGGGTGCTGCCACACTGGTCGATGAAGTTGGCGTGGACGTGGCAAAACACGTGGCAGAAGATCTAGGCAAAGCCTTTGGGGAGCGGTTTGAAGGTGGAAGCGTAGAACTGCTGAAGCAGATGGTGTCCAGGGGCTTCCTAGGTGAGTAGCCTCAGAGACACGTAATTCTAGTTTCCTGAGACACAGTCACAGAAGGCCCGTGTGGAAGAGTTCTTCCTAAACACAGAGCCCACTGTCACGGGGAGTTTTTTAAATGACTTCATGACAACCCCTTAGGCCGGGCCCGTAGATTACAGACAAAGGCAGGACTCTGGCCTGAGGCTCTGCCACCTCCCAAGGTATGACAGGCACTTTTTCATCGGGGCCCAAGGCCTGGAATACACCTGTCATCCTGCAGGAGCAAGTTCTGCACCCAGGCGTCACCATGCTGTCTGGCCACCTGTGCAGAGAAGGTGATGCTTCTAACACAGAGGATATGAGGGAGGCCCGGGAGACGTGGCTCTCTCTCTCTCTCGTCGAAGCCGCGGCAAAATCGGCACCAGGAACACGGCACACTAGGGCCTGGCGTCGCGTGTCTGGACTTTAAAGCTGATCCAGGTGGCCTTTCCCAGCCACATACACAGAGTTCCAGGCTCCGGGAAATACAACGTCATTTTTCCTTCTCTGCCAACGCTGCTGGCAAACCCCGAATTTCCAGGGTTAGCCAGCCAGCCAGGTCAGGAGTACGGTCGAGAGGTTAGAGCTTCGCAGCAGACTAGCGGAGGAGAGAATCCTCAGGCTGGCGCTCTGAGAAATGGTAATCCTCCCTTTTCCGGCTTCTTTTAGGTCGCAAGTCTGGGAAGGGCTTTTACATCTACCAGGAGGGCGTGAAGAATAAGAGTTTGAATTCTGACATGGATGGTATTTTGGCAAGTCTGAAGGTGCCTCCTAAGTCTGACGTGTGAGTTAACTCGAGTAGCTAATAGTGTGGAAACGTGTTTCTCTTCAGCCCAAAGTTTCTCAGTCCTCTTCCGTCTTTGTTATACTCACCTTGCCTGACCAGAATACTCCTGCCCTTCCACGTGCCTCCTCGCTTTCTGCCAAGCATCGGGGTGGGGACTGCAGCCAAGCCTTGGAAAGACCCCTGTTCCAGCCTTCCCTCTGAAGGTCTGGAGAGAACTAGAGAGACCATTGTCCTGGGTCCCTTCAAGCCCCAGACCATTTTTATCATTTGTAATTGGCAGCTGATGATGTCAAGAGATTCTGTCCACCCTCCCCTCCCCTGTTCTAAGCGCCAGTTTCAGGCCGATTAGGACAAGCAGCCCTGAGACTCTATTCCAAGGGCAAGGGCAGCTTCCCAGTGGCTCCTTCTCTCCAGCATTGGAAGTTCCGTCCTGGCTGACCCTCTGGGCTCTGGCGGCAGCAACCCTCTTTCCCGCACGCGCAGTTCCCGCGTCCCTCCCGTGACGCTTCATCTACCTCAGCGTCCCTCTCTCTCGGCAGCTGCTCTGACGAAGACCTCCAGTACCGCCTGGTGACAAGATTTGTGAATGAGGCCATCATGTGCCTGCAGGAAGGGATCCTGGCCACGCCCGCAGAGGGAGACATCGGAGCCGTCTTCGGGCTTGGCTTTCCCCCGTGCCTTGGAGGTTGGTCTCGCAAGTTGGGAAAGTAGCTTGTTTTACCCCAGAGCTCGTTTTGCTGTCGCCTTCAACGAAGTCCTGTTTCTTCATTTAGGGCCCTTCCGCTATGTGGATCTGTATGGCGCCCAGAAGATAGTGGACAGGCTCAGGAAGTACGAGGCTGCCTACGGAAAACCGTTCACCCCGTGCCAGCTGCTCATCGACCACGCTAACAGCCCCAACAAGAAGTTCTACCAGTGATGACAGGCCCTCACACCCTGCTAACACAGCTGCCGGCGGTGCTGACTCTCCAGGAGAGTGGCATCTAGATTTATCAGGGTAACCAGAAGGAAAACAAATTCTGGCATTGGGGTGTGCTGGGATTCAAGTGCCTTCAGCTAGGACTGTCTCTCCCTCCTGGTGAAATGTGGCTGTGAATTAGTTTGCACTTCATGTTAGAAGGTGGAACCCACCGTGCTCGTGAACCCATAAGCCTTGACGCTCAAAATGGCAGAGTCTCCGGAACCATCCTGCCCCCGCCCCCGGGCCAGTGGCGGGGAGGGCAGTTTTGCACCCTACCCAGTACACGAAAACAATAAAACCCAACTCTTCTCAGCCTGTCTGTATGCTCCTTTTTCTTCGCTCTTTGCCCTTCTGGTTTAAACCCGTCCTTCAAGGAGTCGGAATAAAGCCTCGGGCTCTCGGGGTGTGCATGTGTTGGGAGAGTTCTAGACAGCCCCTTGAGAGAGAGAGACCGTGACACGGGGGGATTTAGGGGACTTCACAAACTAAACCCTTCGAAACCCGGCTGTGTTTACAGACTCGGGCAGGCTTCTGCTTGCCATGGGAAAGAGGCCCGACTGACCAGAGCAGGTGAAGGGCGAGAGGCCTGGAGGCCGGGGTTTAAGAGGCTTCTTTCCCCAGATGGCATTTCCTCATGGCACAATGTCATCCAGGGTTTATTGTGTGTGTGGCAGGACGCATATTCAGGATGTCAGCATGGGCATGAGGCACAGGAATGAATATTTTCCTGGCCAATAGATCCTGCACGTCTTGGCTGCCCCAGAGCACGGACGGATGGATGCGTGGATGATCAGCGCGACGAGCGGGACGAAGGCCGAGCGGCCCGCCAGCACCACACGCTGCGAGAGCCCCTCCCCCCCCCCCCGCCCTCGCGGTGCCCCCTGGGCCGGAGAGGCCCTACGCTCACCTTCCGGCAGAAGCACTACCCAGTCTGTGTAAGCGGCTAGGGGGCCCCCGACCAGCCTGGCAGAAGGACCCCCACCGCGTGTGCACAGGATCCTTACAAGTCACACTGTGTCGGGCTCTGAACCGTGACCCATTGCTCCTGCATCTGCTCCAGCTGCCGGGACTCCAGACACCATCCCGGGCCCAGCTCTGCCGGCACCAGTGGGCAGGGAGCTTAGCTCAGGCTTGACCGTTGGTTGGTTGCCACAAAGCCAGACTCTAAAATCAAGCCACCTCGGTGCTAGGGGTTCTCAGGTGACCAAAAGAGAACGGGTCCTCACACCAGAGCCATTAACGGGCTCCTAAAGGGCGCTCTGGGAGAGCCTCAGGCAGGCATTTGGCCAGTGCAGGAAAAACCTGGGGCCTGGCTGGCGAGCTGGAGTTTTCCACTCAGCAGCAATGGAAAGTAGGAATGATGTTGAAACCTTTGAGGGAGCTAGAAGGTTCTTGTAGGGTAGGGGCTGATGAGGGGTTTTCGGAAGAGAACCCAGGAGTGGGCCACGGGCACACCCATTCCAGAGCCTTCTGCCTGGAGGCCCACACATTGTACCTGTCGGTCCCCGTGGTCCGGAAGAAGAGAGCCGCCGACACCCAGCATTCCACCTGCACTGTCCGGTGCTCTAGCATTTATTTCACTAGTCCCGGAGGATTCACTAAGGGATCGACAAGGAAACCAAATGCTTCAGCATCAGTTTGTGTGTCCTGCTTCCCGACTCCCCTTGCCCTGGAGCGGAGGCATCAGCTCAGGGCCTGAGCACCAGCATGGCTTCACTACTCTTGAGAGAAAAACAGGAAATAAATATCTAGGAAGGCTAGGTAAGGCAGAAGAGAAGGCCTGTAACCCGGGGCCTGAGGCCAGCGGCACGAGAGTTAGTGTGGTCCCGGGTGAGGAGACGGAGAGCCCGGGGGCTGGGGAGTAACGGGTGCTCGTACACCATGGCCAACCTCCGGGTGCCAAGCAGGTCGTCGTGCCCGAGATCTGGGGGACGAGGGCCTGCTGTGAGGCACATGAGCAAGTGCAGGAGGCCTGGGCTCCAGGAACGGGGAACGAGGTTTCCCCAAACCACCGTGCTTTCTCCCCACCCACCCCACCTGTGCCAGCTAGAGAGAGCAGGAGGACGGCACCGTGTGCTGGCCAGAATCAAGCGAAGTGGGAGCAGAGGGGAAGTGGGAGAGACTGAAGGCCACTCGCCTCCAGAATCCAGGAGCGGCTGACCTAAATCTACCTGCTCCTCGGCGGAGTGAGAATCTTCGCAGACCGGACCCAGCCTGGCAAGATGGAAGGCAGAAGCCTGGGCACCGGAGACGTCAGGGGACCACCCGGCTCCCCGACTAGAGCACGTCAACAGCAGGGCCGTTCTCGTCGAGGGTCTTCACCCGCAAACCGGCACCGAGAGCTGGAGCCTCCGGGGCACGGTGGCACAGGCTTGTACTCGCTACCCCAGTGCGCGGGGCCAGGGCCCTGATTCACAGAAGGGGGAAGGAAGGCGTCCCAGAGATACAGAAACGGCACCCAGACTCTGGGGCAGCTTAGGCCAAAAGCCCACAGGGCAGAGGGGAGAGGGCACTTGGGGAATTTGTGCTTAAGTTACAGACCATCTTCTTCCCTGGTCTCTAACCTCAACCTACAAGCTTGAGAAGTGCAAGAGGCCTGTGAAGTTCTGCACAAGGACACGGGAAGATGTTAGGTCACCGCGAAGGCCAGCTTTCGATGCCCTTCCTCCACGGGAATCACAGCAGTGTGGCCCCAGGCCCAGGTGTGCCCCAGTGCCTCCAGCCTCCTCCCCACATACTCTGCACAAAGGCCAGATGTCCTCGTGTAGGGGTCTGACCCCAGAGTCCCCCACTTCCAAGTGTGTCTGGATTCACTCTGAGGGGCTGCCTGGCCGCCTCAGTCTTGGCATAGATTATCTCCTCGCAGGCGGGACCGGCTCCTGGGTCCCGCAGGCTGTCCCCCTGCAGCCCCGGGGCCTCCGTGCCAGCTTCCAGTTGCGCAGCTACGAGCCGGGAACATCAGATCTTGGGCCGCCAGCCTTTGATGAACTGCATGATCTTCTTGACCTGCAGCTTGGTGAGGTGGAAGTCATCGGCCAGGATGTCCTCGCTGAGCTGCACGAAGATGCTGCCATCTATGCGTTCTCTGGCAAAGAAGCTCACCACGTCCTCTGAGAGCCCGATGAAACGCAGACTTCGAGAGACTTCTTCCAGGGAGAGTGCAGACAGGTCAGCGGGGGGCTGCCAGGAGGAGGCATCCCGGCCTCCCCAGCCTGCGACCCCCTCCCGGGGACTGGCAGGAGGCCCCTCCAGGCGCCCTTGGGCGAGGAGGAGCCGAGCTCCGCCTGCCTCAGGCCCCTGCAGGGCCACCGGTGACAGTGGGGTGGGGACCTGCCGCAGCACCAGACCTTCTGGTTCAAAGGCCTTGGGGGGTCCGAGTGGCGAGAGGCAGGGTCCGGGCCCAGGTGCCCCCACAGCTCTGGGCTCCTGACAGCGCAGCATCTCGGGCTCCGGGGAACCGCCCTGGCCCAGCTCAAAGGGCTCCAGGGCTGGTTCCGGCCACTCGGAAGAGGAGGAGGAGGAGGTGGGACAGGAGGGGGGAGCAGCTGAGTAGGCCTGGCCTGGTGAGCCTGGGCCTGGAGAAAAGGCAGGGCTGGAGGTAGCCAGGGGGCCCGAGGTGGTCGTGGGCCCAGGAGAGGCGGCCACGGAAGGGCCCGAGGGGTAGGCAGGCCCCGAAAAGGGGTTGAGAGCTCCGAACGGAGCAAAGCGTTTCTGTGGGTGAGAGGGCTTGAACAGAGGCGGGCAGCCGTGGTACGCCTTGACGGGGGTGTCAGCCCCCAAGACGGAGGCAGCCCGACTGCTCGGGGGCTCTGCGAGGGCCCGCGCGGCCTGGCTGGGCTGCGTGGTGGAGGGCAGGGGTCCCGGGGGTGGGCGGCCGGAGGCCTCGCCGGCCTTGCAGTCTCCCCAGGTGCACGGGTAGCAGTAAAGGGAGTAGGCATCCGGTGACGGTGAGCCGCTGCCGCTGCGGGAGGCTGCCCTGCGGGCAGAGACACAGACACGCGCGGAAATGCGACAGGCCGCTCTGCCAGGGCAGAGACTGCCACGCTGATCTCAGCAACGCCGGCTCGCGCCCCGGCCCCCAAGGCCTGAGGCACCCCCCTCCCCCTGCCCCCCCTCCCCCCGCCCGGGACTGCCCTAGTCTTCCTTCCAGCCTCTCCCGCCCCCGGGAAAATGAGACTACGCTGAATCATGTAAAATTTTCACACGGCAAGGAGCACTCCATCCCGTGGCAGATCCCAGTCTGGAGGGAACCCGGGCCGTGTCCCCACCCAACCAACACCAGTTAGGAAAGGAACAAACTGAAGGTGGAAAGCAAGGTGTGGCCCCAGCCCCCAGCGCCCTCAAGCTCAGGTACTGCTCAGGAACGGACGCCCTCCGAACCCCCAGGCCTGGACTCTTCCTCAGCACCGGCTCCCCTCCCCAGGCCTCTTCCGGAGGACCCAGCACCGAGAGAAGGAGGGGGCTCACCCATCCTGGAGGCCAGAGGAGTAGTAGGAGAGGCTGGAGCTGGGGGAGTGGATGGGCTGCAGCTTGGGGAAGCGCGGGGGCACCGGGGGGCTGCCCGAGGGCCGGCCGCTGCCATTGCCACCCCGGGGAGGCACAGGTGGGGCATTGAGCAGGCGGCACTCCTCCTTCACCTGCAGGCAGAGGGCCGTGACTCCGCGTCCTGTCCCCAGGCGGCGGACACCCCTTGCCTCGCCCTTCCCAAGCAGCTGGGCGAGGAGGGTGTCTGGGATGGACACTGCCCCACTTTGCCAAGAGGCTATCTCCGCCTTACTCACCTCTGCCATTCACCCACCCCGGCCCTCTAAGTCTCTCCAGCCTGTTTCACTCCACGAGAGCTCATGACATACACACCATCTCCTGTGGCCTTGGAAAGCCATCGTGAATATAAGAATATGTATATATGAGGAGATCCAAAACAGATATGTAAGCCTAGTCCCTCCTCAAGGAAAAGGAGAGGAAGAAAATGGTGTGACAAGGAGAAGAAAGGGCCATCGGTCATCAAGATCCCTTCCTTATAGGTCAAATACTCCAATTGGACTCCCTGGGACGTTAAGGGCTGCGGTCCACTGCTGTGGACCAGTGCGGTTGCAAAATTCTGCAGTAGGCACAGATAGGGTTCCTTAGTGCAGGACTTCTCAGAGCCTTTAATGAACCAGTGTTCTGTGGTTCCTAAGTGAGGAGGCGGTGGGTTAGGAATCATCCACTACATTTTCTAAACTTATTCCACCACGGGACCCTCTTTTCCCTGGACAACTTAAAGGACTCCTGTTCTGTGGAGCCTTCTGAGCTCATCCCCAAACTCTCTCAAGCTAGAGACCTACGAGCATCTTTGTCTCCAGAACTCCCAGTGCCACCGTCCCTGCTTATCTACATACCATACATATCTACGTCCCTGGTATCCACACCGGCCCTGGTATACCACAAACGCTCCAGCGTTCTTCTCCTTGCCCTTCTCTCCTTCCCCCACCCCTGGGACACCTTCTGTCACACGCTCCAGGGGCTGGAGGCGGAGCTACGAGGCTGGGGCGCAGGAGAACTTGCTTCTGGCCGGCCACCTCCCTGGAGCAGACACCCCCAGTCCCCCTCCCTGCCTCCCACCCCCCGCCACTCACCGCCTCGGACTTGGGAGGGACGGGAGGCGGCGGCGGCGCCTCCGGCTCCAGGCGGGGCGGCCCGGCGGCCCCGAAGGAGATGAGGTCGGGCCCGGGGGGCGGCCGCGTCCGGCCCTCGGCCGCCTGGTGCGTCCACAGCTCCTCGTAGGGGATCTCGGCGGGCGGCGCGCCAGGCTCTGGCGGGCCGGCCCAGTCGGGGCTCACGTACTCCTGCTCGCCGTCGCCGGGCGGGCCGGGGGCGCGGGCGGGC